AAGGACCACTCCTAATTTCTGCTCCTGTCTCCAACCTGTACTTATCGAATTTCTCAACCAATCGCCAATAGGTATGTTGCACAAGAGAAGCTATAGGAAGTGCACGAATACCTTTGAAAATACCATTGACGCTTTCTGCCATGTTGGATGTCAGGATATACCAACGACGCCCACCATTGTAGTTATCGTGTGCTAAACTCCAACGAATCTGATGTTGATCCACCCAGTTATCACATGAAATATTTCTATCAGCGGCCACCTTCTTAAATTGCTCAACTTGACGATCAAACTTCTCCAACCGTTTTTCTCCGGCTAACAAAATAAAATAAACCACCACATGGGTTAGATAAATTCATGACAAAATTACATCAAAACAAGTAACAAAATTATATGAAGAAAGCTTACCGACTCGAAATAGTTGATTATACATAATTCTGCTTTTAGTCTTCCTTTGCAAATTGCTTGCATAGTGTCGCATGCACCACCTCCACTCCCAACCTCTTCCGATGTTATTCATGGCTTCATAGAGTCCTGCATGTCTATCTGAGATGATGCATACATCATTTTGATCAGTCAAACCCTGAACGTGACTTATGAACCATGGCCAACTATCAGTATTCTCACTCTCGACTATGGCAAATGCAATTGGAAAAATCTTCTTCCGTCCATCAAATGAGCTCGCCATGAGTAGCACTCCTTTATACTTCCCAGTAAGAAATGTTCCATCAACAACCATAACGCCTGGACAATTCTTGAATCCATCTATACAAGGTCCATAAGCCCAGAATACTCGCTGAAATATTGACTGACCTGGTTGAGTCGAAGGAACTCTTACCCAATGAATCACCGATGTTGGCATTTTCCTCTTGACCACCCGCAAGAATGTTTGCAAAAAATCATAGGATTCTTCCCAATTTCCATGCAACTTCTCCAATGCTCTTTGTTTCCCATACCAAGCCTTCTTGTAAGTAACTTGCATATTAAACTTATCTTTCAACTCGGCCTGAACAGTTAGAACACTCAGATTTGGTTGGGCACGTACCAAGTGTTTGACGGCCTCAGATATCACGTCGACATCAAGATGGCGATGATCCGTTGGTTGAGTCGTACTGCTACAAGTATGCGCCAACTCGACCTTTCTCACGCTCCAATCGCCTCCCATTTCTCGACATCCAAACCGCACCATCCAAGGACATTTGTCCTCCTTGTGCATCAAACATCTGATCTTCCAGATTGAAGGTGACGACTCCACCACGTTATACTGAAAGTTGCGTTGTAGTGCATAGTGTTTCATCGCCACCTGTGCAGCTTGTTTCGAGTGAAATATTTGCCCCTTGTAGAATTCTCCATCAAAACCACCAACAGTAGACCCTGGAATTACGCCATATGAATCAGCATATGATAATTCCTCGTCCTCTTCATTACCCTGCAAGTAAAAATATGGAGGAAAATTAGGTTGTTCTCCTCCCTCCCCGTCGTCGTCCTCCTCCTCCTCCTCCTCCTCATCGTCTTCCTCATCTCCGTCATCACCGTCATCATAATCATGATCGGATGGCATGCTCCATGTGTCATCATCGTCATCATCGTCTTCCTCTCCACCCCGATTCTCACTGAGCTCAGCATGTATCTCAGCACCCAAACAATAAGGATTTTGTGCCATAAAATTCCAAAGCACATTTAAGCTATCATCATCGACAATAGGCATTGCATAATGAAATAAAACACCATTCTGCCATTCTGGAAGACAGTAGGTGAAACCTGTAATCACAACACTATCTTGTACTGTTTCGTCTCTAATCCGTATTCTCCGAATTAGATGATCACAAAGTTTCTGATAGTTCACCCTGGATGGAATAGTCATCTGGAAACTTAGACCACCAACAAAATGGACACCCAAATTGTCTTCTACTTTCTCTGATCGCCACCGAACAGCTAGTTCAAATCTTCTAAAATCACTACATAAAAAACAAACTCGCTAATTACATTACTAACTAGACAAAATCATTATGGTGAATACATGAAAAAAAAAATTACGACTCTTACCTGTTATTAGCCATTTTCCCAGCAACCAGACAGCAACACCAGAGCTTCTTTCAGAACTTCTTTCAGAACTTCTTTCAGTTTTTTGGTGATGAAGAACCGAAGGAAAGGTGAAGTATATATGGTGAGGGGTGGTGCTGGAGTGGAACAAAATGGCAGCGACAAAGCCCCAGTCTGGGGCGTCGTCGCTATTACCTTCTAAAAAGCGACAAAGCCCAAGTCTGGGGCGGCGCCGCTATATTTATTTTGTTAAAAAAGCACCCAGCGGCGGCGCCTGAGTCCAAGGCTTTGGCGCTTTAGACATATCAAAAAACACAATATTGTTGTAAATACTTTTAAAAACACAATATTCGTGGTAAATTAAAAAAAAACAATATTTAGGGAATTAACCCGAGAAACGCACCCCCCCTCGCGCATGCTTAAGGGTTGTGACGCCTATTTATCTCTCCAAAAAACATTAAAACTAGCAACTAAGTGAACCAGCCGGGAACCAGAAAAAGACATAGTTTGCATAGCGCGGGCCATTGCTAAATACCAAATAGGCCTGAAAAGTGAAAATTGGTGAGTAGACTCTTTTATACACAGAAAAGTCTACTCAGCCGAATTACATCAAACAATCATGAACGAACATGTTTGCCGTATCATCAAACAAAAATTGTCGGATTTAATTTTTGAACCAGAGGTGCATAAATAAACCTACACGAAAATTAAAATAGTATATACATGTTGCATATGGGGATTGTGCACATAAAGGTTTTTATGTAGATATGTTCAAAGCTTTTCCAGTTGTCTATGTCACCCCTTGAAATTGTTGGTCTTATGTTTAATCTATCACATTTGAAGTTGACGGTTTGATCGGATCGGGTTTGTGGTGCCGAAGTTTCAAGAGCAGTGGTGGTGATCGAATCGCGGGTTTGTGGTGCTAAAGTTTCAAGAGTAGTGGTGGCAGCTGCGCAGGATATAGACGTTACTATATTCAACCAAGGCCGAATGAGTTTTGCTTTATCTTTTAAATTGGTAATTTATAATTATAATTAAAATATTTACCCGACCCGTTGGTCAGATGAATTTTACTTTATGTTGATCAATTTTATCATGTTGTAAAATTATCACATTTGGAGTGGATGTGATGATCGGATCGGGTTTGTGGTGCTAAAGTTTCTTGAACAGTGGTGGCAGCTGCGCAGGATACAGACGTTACTATATTCAACCAAGGCCAAAAGAGTTTTTCTTTATTTTTTACATTGGTTAATTTATAATTATATTTAAAATATTTACCCGGCCCGTTGGTCGGATGAATTTTACTTTATGTTGATCAATTTTATCATGTTGTAAAATAATTTGAGGTTTTCTAAAATAGCTAATTCATTATTTTAAAGTAATCTTTATGATATTTTTTGATTATGACAATAGCGAAAATTAGTTAATATGTATTTTTTATTAAGTCGTCCTAGTTTACTTTTTGTATTTTTATCCCTCATATCTTAGAAGAAATTTGTGGATTTTTTATTATCGGATATGAATTTGGAGTTGGAAGGAAATATATGTCATCTAGAATTGGTAGAAATTGAAGGTATATAAAAACATCAAGAGAATAACGAAAAATTATGCCTCAAAATCTCAAATATGGAAGAACACGAAAAAATTATGCTTATTGTATAAATTATTATGATTTGGTGTATATGCTTGTTTGAATAATAAATGAGAGTTGTTAAGTGTTAGATACTAATGCACGGACAAAAGTTAACAAAGAAGGAATATATGCACGGACAAAAGTTATTATGATTTGGTGTATAGGCTTTGGGGGAGGTCCATCTTATACATGACTGTGATGGTTAACCAATGTGAACTTATGGGTAGAGAAGTTCTTTTATCTGGCAAACCATATTTGGATGTCAAGTTGGGTTGCACATTACATATTTCAGATAGTTTCAAGGTTGACTCATAGTTTGGTTGTGTGATTTTGTTTGTTCCTCATATTGATTTGTAAGTTTCAATTGTAGTGAACAACGTTATGTATTGAAAGGTAAAGTTGATTTGGTGTATGATGGGATTTCGTACTCGGTACTTCCATTGGTGTCATGAAAAACACTTAAATTGTTGTTTCAGACCAAACTAATGCAAATTAGAGGAGAAGACGTAATATGAAATGTATAACGAAACGCTAACCATGCATGAGATACATATAGCTCTACCAGAATCCATACTAATTTAGTAAGTTAATATTTAAGTTGGATGATCTTTAGCTAGTTGTCAAAACCGAATCGAGCCGGATCTAAAAACTTCATCTTACTCCTGAAAATAAATACAATACAGTGTATATGTACACTGCATTTCAATGGAACGTATAGGCACTACAAATGTTTTTGTTTTTGTGGGACAATTGAATGAGTTTCATCAGGAATAGCATGTTGAATTAGCTCGATGTCGAAACATTACAGAAACAAAGAAGGAATATAAGCGAGAAAGAAGAAAGGGAAAAAACTATGAAAATTTTAGAAACACTAATACAAAGCCTTACTGCTAAATTGAAAATATTGTCACATACAATAATTAGAATTGACAAAAAAGATTAACAAAAAGAAGCAACTGATTCATTAATTAAGACATTCGCACAATTAGAACTAAATCAAACTACGAGAAAAATTCATCATCATCAAGTCGTAATGAAACTACTTAGGGGTCGTTTGGAAGTTGAGATTTCAAGTGAGGTATTTAGCCGATACATGTAATGATAAGATTAAGTCGTTTTTTTGGTTCAATTTGAGTTAGAATGCATGTATTACCTTTTTCCTGGCCCACCCACAATCACTCAAAATGAATGATTGTCAATCTCTACAAAAAGTAGAGATTGTTAACAAGGGATTGTCTACCCTACTTTTTGCTCAATCATTATCTTTCCAAACAAGGTGTTTTCCTAATACATGCATTGAATCAATACATCAAATAATAATACATGAATTGATTAAATGCATCTATTTGGAGAATCTCAACTTCCAAACATGCCCTTTAGTAACAAAACTCACTGCGGTTATTGTCTACAGTCCACCTGCCCCGCTGCTAATTCACATATGACATATCGTCATCTCATCAACATATGCAAAAATTCTGTTTACTTAATTACACAATGAAAAAAACATCCATATGCATAGAATTAACTAATTTCTATCCATCTCAATCAAAATTTCCCCTCCATGCACCCCTACTAGATTCTCAATTCTTCATGACATTTTCTCGCATTTATCCGTCGATCCCATTTCCTGCAACATACAAATATCCAGTATTATAAAATGAGCGATGACAAAAACTACATTCAGTAATGGCCAAGATGATGATAGCCAAGGCATCTATTACGACGTACCAGCCCAAGAAATAAAAGATAAAAAAAGATTAGATGATATAGAATCAAACTGAATTAATCAATCCATCCATATTACAATATATATATATATATATATAGTGAAAAATAACATCAATATTGTCAATTATTGTAAAAAAAAAAACTACACTCAATAGCATCCTTGTAATCTAAGCAACATTGCCCAATTCCTCAAAAGCCTAGCTTCCTTTGAAGTAGCCAAATTAGTAACTTGATTCCATTATGAGGTTGGAAATGATGGTATTTTAATGAACTAAGGGGTCGTTTGGAAGTTGCGTATGTTAAATCGTTGTATTATGAAGAATCATTACAATATAAAATACATATATTAATACAATATAAAATACATGTATTAACATTACATTGTTTGGTTGTTGAGTAATAGTTTAGTGATTAACTTACATAAATTAACTTTTTGGTGGAAATATCACATTTACCATTTATTTTAACATATAACTCTTTTCCCCTTCGTCTCATTTACTAGGGATATCAATGGGTGAATTGCAAATTTGGTCACCCATATTACTCATTTATAACACTTTAGTCACCCGAATAAAAAATCATTCAACTTAGCCACCAATACTACACGTTCATGTCATATTTGGTCACTCGTCGTCTAGTTCCGTTAAGTCTGTCCTAGGTGGCAGTCAACTCCAACGTTTGGCCGTAAAAAAGCTGACGTGTCATTTAAAAAATAATTAGTTAATATATTTATTTTATTTTATTTTACAGCTCACAAGTTTTTGCACTTAACAACATACATGAAGGACAGTACTAATACAAGGTGGTTAGCTAGCTGGCCAACTAGTTGTTTGTGGGTCATTGTGATAATAGTTTGGCTTTGCCAAAAACCAGTTGATTCCAATAACTCGAGTTGTTGGGAGAATGTTATGTTCGATCTTATACCACTCTCTAACACGCCCCCTCAAATGAAAGCCAACTGATCATGAGCTTGAAGTTTGCACAGACGATCACTATACCATGTGCTTTAATCAACTGTTAATATTTGGGGTCGTGGAGATTCGAACACACGACCACTTGGTCAAACCAGCTCTGATAGACTGATACCATGTCAAGAACCAGTTGATCACAATAACTCGAGTTATTGGAAAAAAGTTATGTTGTATCTTATATCACTCTCTCTCTGATACAACTATAGACACACATGTGATTAGTGAATGGATCATTTCAAGTAAAGAAATACCGGAACAAGGCAGAAATGGCAAGTGGGTGGGGGAGACAGTCGACGACATTCTATCATGGTCGAACAAGAAGAAGAAGAAGAAGAAGGACGAAAGGGAATCCAATCCTAAGGACCAACTCTCGTGACTCTACCCTTTGCCAGCCTAATATTATTCCCATCCTCGCATACATATTACTACCATCATTGCCTTCTCCTTTCTTTTCTTAAAAATTCTTAAATAAAATACCAGAGAAAATGATATATAAAGACAAGGGAAACAACACAAAATCTCGCCACTCCATCTCGTGGACCCATCTTACCGTGCAAAACTACTCTATCTTTGTCAGTCACAGTGTTACACCGTCACCCCCACCCCCAACCAGTAAAAAAGCAAAAGAACAACACTACTCTAACGCATATATGTGGAAATAAAAGTTAAAAAAAGAGAATTATTACAGCAACGAGCTAGCTAGCTTTTTTCGAATTCTTCGACGTACCTCGAGTCCTTTTTGCGCCAACATGGTGATCATCATCGTCATCATCAATCACCATACTGCTTTTCCAATTCCCTAGTAGTAGTAAGTGGTGTGCATGGTTGACTTTCATGATTTCATTGAAAGCTAGGGTTTCCCCCGAAAGACGAGTGACTCCCCATGCTGTTATTATTGTTCCTCTCCGAATCCAACGACGAGCTTCTCTCCAACGCCGCCCCTACTTGCTGCTGCTGCTGCGAGATGGTGGTGGCGATGCCTCTGACCGCCGCCGCCACGTGTCCAACTCCCAGGAAATCCCTCGTCAGCTTCTTGTTGTTACTACTACTACTACTACCGTTATTGTTATTGTTGTTGTTGGCGGCCGCGGTGAAGGAGTTCATGAGGTCGTGGAGATTGTTGCTGCTGCCGTTGTCCGTGTCCACGTCGCCGAAGAACGACCCGCCGAAGGTCCCGAGACTCGGTTGCTTTTCGCCGGATGATGATTTTTGGTTGTTGTTGTTGTTGGGGCCGGCGGCGAAGGCGCTTCTGAGAAGCGACGCGCTGGTGGTGGCGTTGGGGTTGGAGCTGGTGGTGGACCCCATCTGCGCCGCCTTCTGGAGCAGCGCCGTCGCCGACATGTGAGCCACCATGTTGTTCATCTGCTGCTGGTGGACGGAGGAGCTGAAGAGAGGGACGCTGCCGCCGGTGGACGATCCCATCATCATCATCTGGTGCTGATGATCGCCGCCGCTGTGGTTGTTATTATTGGCGAAGAGAGTCATGTTGCTGTTGTTGTTGTTGGTGGTGGTGCTGTCGAACCCTAGGTTGAAGAGCTGGTTGGCGGCTGCGCCGCCCGCGTTGTTGGGATCCGACGAAAACTGTTGCATTAGGGCATGGTGGAATGGCTGGTGGTAGCTGCTTTGGTGGTGGTCGGAGGTGTCTTGTTGTGGCATGAAGAAAGCGGCGGAGGAAGGTGACAAGTGGGGCTGGTTTCGGAACTGCTGCTGCGAGGTGGCTGTGGTTGTCGATGATCCTCCTCCGGCGGCGCCGAGGGAAGGAGGAGGAGGGAGGAGGTGGTCGAACTGTCCAGTGGATCCGCCGAGGCGGAGGATGTCGGCTGCGGTGGAGGAGGAAATGCCTAGGGTCATGTTGTTGGCGGCGCCGGTGAAGAAGTGGGAGGGTGTGGGGTTTCTGGCGCTCTCTTGAGCCAGTGCGTCGCAGAATGCCCGGTGGGTGATGAAACTGTCCCGCCTGCATTGCATGCATTCCACAAATTTACCATAGTAGTTTATTATTAAAATATAAAAAAAGGTCACATGTGATTGAGGTGTCCTTCTTTAGTGTACATATACATATGTCTGTAGCAAAGATGATAAATATGAGGAATCCAAATAATAGGTTAAAACACAGCAATGCATGCAGTTAGCTGCTCCTCACTGGCACGAATTTGGATAAATATAAATGTAATTATCTTTTTCAATAGCGATTGGGTTGGACAGTCACGGGGACGCCAAAAATATGTTATTTTTCTCGGGATTAATTAATTAACTTGGACTGCAGAGAATACGCAGTGGCAGTGATTAAGTGTAATAAAAATTAATATGGAGACAAAAAAAAAACTAAGCATTTTTTAGGGAGAAGAATTCTTGGAATCAAACTGAGGAAGAATTCTTTGCAAACTCAAAAACGACAAACATGTGCTAACAAAATCATCATTCAGGCCGGTCTAGCTGGCTAGATAATTAAGTTATTAAACCGAGGACATGAAAGGTGCTAAGTTGTAACTAGAGATAATTAGTAGTATTAGTATGACAATAATGCTTGATTGCCCATAGGAAAAAAAATAAAAAGGAAAGAGTGGGAAATTAATGAAGATGGCAATGAATGAAGTGCTGGTGGAAGGTGGGAATTAATGGAAGTAGTATGGTATCGTAGTAGCGGAGTGATGGAAATGTGAGATGCCAAAATAGGAAGTGAGAGTTCAATAAATGCAACAAGAGAATGTATTCCAACCTCATGAAAGTGAATCAATCAAAGCCATAAATTCATGCTTGATCAAATTGATTCAAAAGGTTGAAGAGCTCGCAGCTAGCAAATGCTGCAGGCCAGAGGAGTCCACTTCATGGAGCAGGTTTATAGAAGAAGAAAAAAAAAAAAAAATTGGGATTCCAAGAAAGAAAGAAAGGAACACCTCAAATTCAATGCAATGATGGTGGTGATGATGATGCCTGGGTAAAGAATAGAGAGCAAATAAAGCTTTCTGGGTGAGGGACTCTAGCTTTGTTGCCCAAACTGGCATTTTACTATTGTGCAACAATCATAATCATAGAGAGAGAGAGAGAGAGCTAGAGCAGGCAGGAGGAGCTTATCACGAAAAGGAGCAGCTGCACCGTCTCAGGCCTGAACACAAGCAGCCAAAACCCGCTTCCTTACAAACATGGCAAAACAACAATTCCCCCACTCTTCTCCTCTCTTACAGCTCCCAGCCCCCACCCGCAACAACTAAACCCTGCCTGCCTCCTTGCTTGCACTTGGCAGGCAATGTCTTAGCTAGCAACACGTGAATAGAGAGAAGAGGAGAGAGAGAGAGAGTCCTTGTGTTATGACTTACGAGTATGTGACATGGGTGTCTTCTAGTTCGATTATCATGAATGAAGAAGAAATCCTTTCAGTTTATCGTTTGTTCTTTAGTTATCTCTGTAATTTCATAGGAGTAGAGTTAACGTAGTTGTTCGATCACGTTAAGTGGAGCCCGTAGACTAAAAATCTACGCAACACCTTGCTAGCTCGATCGAGAGACATTCATGGTGGCGTTGTTTTCGAGGGTTCACCATATAGTACCACACCTTCAATTTCAAGACCCAAAATCCATACTTTCCATTGTTTGACATGTTATTACCTGTGCATTATCATGCTTGTTACTACAATTATGGCTTTCCAAACAACTTTTCATCGTTTGAGGCGGCCGGCAGAGACTTTTTTTCTCTCTTGGGTTATGGGTTTGTTGAAAACTTTGAAAGTGAGAGACCCAGACACTCTTTTTCTACACACAAGAACAAACCAAAAAAAAAAAAAAAGTGACGAGCATGGCAGTTTTGCCATGGCTGGCTGCTTCACGTGCCTCGCTTTACTCCCATCTAGCTCTCTCTCATTCTCTCTTACTTGAAACCGTTTCGAATAACACACTCACTCACCCTTGCTTTGACTCTCTACTCTCTCTACTCCCACCTGTCCACTTAGCCACATCATAACGTAACTCATACCCACAGAAGAAGAACAAGAAGAAGAAGAAGAAAAAAACAATAAACAATATAAATTCTAACCCCTCGAAGGAATCTTATGTACCAGAAGAGGAAGGAAAAAAAAAACGAAACAAGTATGAAGTAAGCATATGAAAACAAAAGAACACAACAAACACACCCACGGTGGTAACAATACCCACCTGCACCACTACTTCTGTCCCCCAATTACTTAATCCAAATCGCGAGCCATTGGGAGAAGGTTTAATATGAATGTTAAAAAGAAGCTATGATATTAGCGTATCGTGTACCTGGAGAAGAGGGTGCCACAGTCGCATCGGTACTCCCTGGTGCCACAGGTTTTCGAGTGCGCCTTCCAGTCCGACTGGACGGCGTACCTTTTGGCGCACTTGTCGCACTTCCACTTCTTCTCGCCGTGCTTCCTCGAGTAGTGCTTCTTGATCCCCGTGAGGTCCCCCAGCGCCCTCGAAGCCTCGTGGTGGACGCATGTTGGCTCCGGGCAGAGGTACACTTTGCGCTTCACGACTTCGTTTTTGTTCTTCTGCTTGAGCTTCCAGGGAAGGTTGTGGCCTCTCCTGTGGAGCTGGAGGTTCTGCTCGCGCTGGAAGCCCTTGTTGCAGACCTCGCAGATGAACCTGTTGGTCGCCATTAGGGTTTTTGGCGACAGCGCGATCACCTCCGCGTCTGGATCTATCCGGGGTGGCAGAAACCAAAACACGCAACCAAACAAGAGGAGGAAGGAGGGGGAGAGGGGGGAAGGAAAAAAAAAGGAGAAACAAAAACAAGAAATTAAACCCACTGTTAGAAACAACCAAATGCTAAGAAACAAACAAACCGATTGACCCGAAATTGTGTTGACACAGAAACAGACGCCACAGATAATCACACCATGCCACTACTCCCACTATGGAACATAGCTAAAGTTTGGATTTTGGTGCCAATTCAACAACTAAACAAGAGGTCAAAACATTTTTGTTTCGATGACTCGTATGAACAGATGAGTTATTGTTTTGTTTCTTTGTTGAATTTTGGAAGAATACTAGCTTTGTAGATTGTCTCGACGATGTTAAACCAGTTCGTTCCACTAACTCGTGATTGTGCCATTTTTTTCTCTGAATTTCACGAGAAGAAAAAAGAACCAAATTGGAAATGGAAGATTCTCACAAGTATATGTACATGTACTTAATAGAATTGTGTCTTGGATTAGCTTTTTTTCTTCCTGTGTTGTTTTGTGATTTGTGAGTAGTGGTTGTAGGGTAATTGAGGGTAGATCTTAATGGGTTTCATTCTTTTGTCTCTCATTTGAGGACGCAAAAGAAAAAGGATTCGATTTTAACAAACAATTGGATGAAGATATAAGCAAAACAAGGTAGGTAGGAAGCCAATAGGAGGTACTTGCTTGGATTTCCAGGCTGGTTTCGCTTCTTCTTGGGCTGGGGAGGACCAGAACCGGCGGCTGAGCTTGCGGCAGACAGCGGAGGCGGCGGCTGCTGTGCTCCGGCGGTGGTGAGCTGAGAATTGCTCAAAAGGGAAGATGAATGCTGGAGGAGTTGATGGTGGTGGAGATGTGGATGATGATGATGATGCAATCCTCCTACTCCCACTCCAACTCCAATCGCCGCGGATTGTTGCTTCATCTGCTCATCCACTTCCTCCCTGCCCATCCCAAAGAATGGAACCGATGATGATGAAGAGGTCGCCATCTCTCACTTATTCTTCTTCTCCTTCTTGGTGCTTCTTCTTTGAGTTAATTTTTCCTCAAGAAGAAAAGGCAGAAGGAAGAATTGTTGAGAGGAGTAGTAGCTGTTGTTGCTGTTCTGTAATTAACCTCACATGCAAAAATTTGGCTCAGAGTGAAGATGGATGATTGAGGAGAAGGAAAGGGGAAAGAGAGGGTGCACAGACTGTGAATTGGTTTTTTCTTGTGTAAGGGGGTGGAGTGCTTCTGAGTTATTAACAACCCTAGAAATGGAGAAAGTGGAAAGGGGAAGAAAGAGATAAGATTGAAATAGGGAAGGAGGAGGGTAGGGTGTGAGAGAGAGGGAGAGAGCAAAACAGAAAGGGGGGGAAAAGCTCTGAGCCATAGGCTGTCTCTCTGTATATATATGGAGAGAGAGAGAGAAGGAGGGAGAATGAAGATGGTGAAATTGATGAGAAGTACTGGCCATCTACTCTCTCTATCTATCTATGAACAAGTTATGGTAAAAGGGTTTATATGCAAGTGCTAGCTAACAAACTTTTTTACCATCTTCTTTTGAGAATTTTTTGTCTTATTCTTTTATTATGAATTTGAATTTGAATTTGAATTGACGGAACTATGTCGTTTCTCGAACTATGAGGATAATCTTAATATTACGTTAACAATATAACGGGCGAAGTCGCTGAAGCATTAATTTCATTCCAAAGATTCTCGCATTCAAAATCAGGTCTCATCCATCAGACTGAATTTATGTATATGGTTGTCCTTACGCGGTTACGCCCTATTAGGCTATTACCACACACAAGAAAACTCATTTGAAGATACTTGATCATGGATAGCCTAATTAATACTCGTATTTAAATATTGTTATGAACTTCTGGATTATTAATAGTGTCAGTAGGATATAATGATGAACTAAGGTGTTAAAATCAGTTTTGATTATTCGATTGAAGAGAAATCAAAATTTCTAAAAAGGTTTGTAAGAAAATCGAATCTTCTCTAAATACTATAAAGCGCTTTCTCCCAAAACTCTTCACCGCATCTTGCGGAATTTCCTTTTCTTTTTTCTTTTTCCGCATTTGCAAACAGCAGCGGCCAATTTTTATATATTTTATTATTTTCTTTCACATGCTTTATTTTATTTGGTAAGTACGTGCTTTATTTTTTAAAAGACACGTGTTTGTCCAATTTGCAAGTTCTTGAGAATTTTCTCATTGTATTTTGTTGGCCGGTTAAAATTAATAATAATTGTGAAATTGTATCGGAGGTTATACAAAAATAAGTCAGTAATTTTCTTAAACAAAATGTCAGTAATAAAATATTTTGTATAAAAATTATGGTTTGACTGGGACTCAATTGTTGTTTTACACCATTTAAAATATCCTATCATTTATAGTATGATATTCAATATTTTCGCTCCAACCGGGTAGTGCGGTGGATTTGTAAGACATTGGTGAAAATACACTTGGTACTATTTTTTCAAGAATTCTTAGTTAAACCTTAGCGCAAATATCGCACTTTATAAATTGATCTATATTGTTTGGAAGATGATTTTTCAGTGTGTTTAGTTCATGAATCTTCGCATACATACAATGCATCGAGACTTTATATTATCACAATTTCAACATGAGAATTTTTTGGTAAAACTTCATTGTGGGAATGAGTCAAACTTAGATAATAGACGAACTATCATGAGATTGATGCCCAATATTGAAATTTTTTAACAATAGTATGTTATAAATTTTGCCAAAAATTAATTTGTTTTATTGAAATTTTAATGTCTTCACTTTGAAACATGTATTTCATACGTCAATGACTAAACATTATTAAAAAATTATTGAGTGCATAATTGATAAATTGCCTGATACATACAAGTTAATCTCTCATAAAACATAAAATTATTTATTACATAAACTTATAGTTGGCTACATGAAATATCACAAGTATATTTTGAAAAATGTACATAAAATAGTTGAAGTATGATGATAATTAATCAGTATAGATGGATAGTGGTAATTTTTTCTTTTTTGGTTGGCTCAAAGTGGATAATTTTTTTATTATAAAAAAGATAATTAAATGGGACCCAACCGGCCAACGGCCGGGTTCAAAGCTAGTCTTATTTGAATAGTTAAAAAAAAATTATATGCTAATTGGATTCGGTTAGCTTAAAATTGATAAGATGCTAAGAATCACCAGTAATAACCAAAAACAAAACCATCCAGCAAAAATCCAATTTATTTTCATTTAGTTTTTAGTTCTTTCGAACGGTAATCGAACTACTAATTAAGGTCGTCCTTTACTATTATGATTAGCAAAATTAATTAGCAATTGTTACAAGGGAAAATTTTGTTGACAGTCTTGGATTTAACGATCGAACGGACAACCGCGCTAGCTTTACCATCCCTACCATAAACCCTATATATTTATCTATCCTAAAGAACCCTAAACTTAATCTGTTTCTATTTTCTTGGGAAACAATGATCACTCTTTTGCTCCCACTCCCACTCTCTCTGAGTGGTTAAAGACAGATGCAAATGATTTAGGGTTTTAGGTTTTTGTGCGTGTTTTTGGGGATTGGGACTAGCAAGCAAAGCAGACTTTAGTTTTAAAGGTATGGTTTGGTGTCATGCACAGATAATAACACCACCACCACCACCACCACCTCCTCTATCTCATACATCACTCAGTTTTATTCCTGCTTCCCAAATCCATCTGTTCTCTTGCGGTTTCCTCTGTTTTTATTTCTTTTTGGTTTTTTTTCTATTCTTTTTGGGGTTCACGGTATGGCTTAGGAAGAAGATGAAGGAAAAGAAAAGAGGAAGGAAGAAAGGTCGATATGGAAAGGCGGAGAGTGATGGGCCCCACAGGAACAAGTCGGTGGACCCAATCCCCTACAGCCGCATCACGACAGTGAATGGTGCGCGCGCGCGCTCTCTCTCTCTCTATAAAAATCGGGGCTAGTCTTTTTTTTTTTTTTTGTGCTAATTAAATATAATTCTATTGCCTACGTGCGGACAAAGTTGCCACCATCACTCACAGGTCCCTCACTCTTTCCCGGTGGACCTCACACGTCACACCCTTCCCTTCCTACTTTTCCAATTTTTATTTTTCATTTCTCCTCTATTTTTTAAAATCAATTTTAATTTTTTTTTAAACTATTGTAAAAATTTGAAATCCCTAAATAGTCGTTCATGTTGCTGCGAGAACATTATGATTGATACGTTTTAAACAGAATAGCTCTTGTTCTTTGGTTAATGAATATTTGTTCGATAATGATATTAATGTGGTACAATGTGATTATAATAATGTTAGACTTAATGGTAGTGAATTGATATGGACGTGTGTAAATCTGTGTTGGTGAATTCTCGTGTAACTCGTAGTGTATCAATATAAGTAGTACCTTTTTGTATATAAATTATATGATTTGTAACTTTGTGTTATTCCGTTTCTATCTTTTGTGACCTGAATGATAAATATTTTTCCAGGGCGTGTCTATGATGTACCACTGTTTCTGTGTGTGTGTGTGTAAAACACGCCTTTTATCACAATGCTACAGTCAACATCACCGGTGTCTCTGTTAAATTTTGCTTACATAGTTTAGAATTTACAACTACTACATTCATTTCTACTCATGAAGTTGTCACTATAAATGATCACTCGATAAATTTGTAAAGTTGTAACGAGTAAATCGATGATTCGTCTAACTTCAGATGTTATACCATTGGATACTAACACAAATTTGAGAAGAATTGAATAAATATATATTTTATCTTTTTATTTATTTAAAATATGATAGAGAAAAGTATATATGTTTCGCATATTGAAAAGTTGAAAAGTAATAAAAATTTCAAACCAGAACCAACAAATTTCAATAAAGGAGCAACCCCCTACTCCTGTAATTAATTAATTAATGGAATGGACAAAGATAGAGAAAGGGTCAAGCAAGGTCTAGGTGAGGTGGGTATTAATTCTCTCTACTTCTACATCTTCTCTCCCTTGCTGTTTCATGCATCACTGAATTCCAGGTGTAAAGTGGCACCAATTATTATTAATGTAACTAAGGATTCTGATCATATCATCATAAGAGAATGTTAATACCACTTGTTTATTCATGCCTGTACCCCACCCATACTAATTAATTAATTAATTAATTGTTTAATTAATCAAGAAACCCACCTGTAGGGGATTCTGTGTGCTCTGCTTTTCCCTTTCTTTTCATTTCCCTTGAAGGAAAAGGAAAGGGGGAGGGTGGGAATCGGGCATAACCGGAAATGGATGATGAAGGTGGGGGGAAATTTGTAGTGGAAAGGGGCCGGCGGGTGAAAAAAAAGGACGTGACGGTAGGGAGAGCCGGCAAAAAGGAAACCACCCTTTTGCTGCCGTGCGTTTGGTTTGCATGCAAATTTTCCATATTTTAAGAAAAGAGGAGAGGAAGAAATGGAAATGGAGGTGAATGAATGAGTAGTCTTTGTTGTTGCAATGCTGGATTGTTGGTGGTGAAGGTGGTGGGGGAAATGAAAGGGAAACCTCAATTCTTAACCCCCAGCTCGCCGGCTGACTCTCTCTCTCTCAAGTTGTCAATGCGCGGGTTGACCCGGACCCGGTCGAACTAGTGGGTTAAGGGTGAACGGGTCACCCGTTTTAGCCCGTTTTAACCCGGAAATGTGGAAAGAGTCATTATATTGTACTTATCCTGATAAATTATATCAAATCTCATCTAACATATGAGTAATAACACATAACATTACACCAAAATAACATGTCGTACTTAGATCCAACATATAGTGAAAATTCACACACACACTTATATAACATAAGTATTCAAATGTTCAACTAAGAATTCCAAAGATTGAGTTAGGTGAAAAGAAAAATCGATAAATAGGCGCATTTCGCAAACCAAATAAAAAAATGACACAATTTGACCTCCAAACCGGTACTTTGTAACGGTCGACCTTGAGGATGCGTGCGGCCCGTTATTCTCACTGGATCATGGTCAAAATGGGT